CAGGGTCTTGTCATCCATGAGATCAATCACTGTGGCATCAATCTGTAATGACAAAAATATTTATTACTTTACAAGTACACAAGGTATACCTGCTGCCTATCCTGACTGATTACATTAATTGTAGATCACAATAAAACGTAAAAATTATAAATACACTCTTCAGATGTTTTTAATTTTTTTTTTTCTATAATAAAGTGAAAAAAAAGAATGCAGTTCCAACCTATGCTGAATAAATTACTACAGTTGGTAACAAGTAACAGAATAACATTTATCCAATTTTGCTGATTACCTTTATTAAATTATATTCTCTCTAAACTATATTTTCTCTATTAATTTAATCTTTACAAGATATCGTCAATTATAAACACTATAAATTTGGTTAAAAACATCTTGGTTGCCCAGTTTTAGTTTGATATCATGTACATTTTGTATCAGTTCCCTTACAGAATAAAAAATAATGTAATACATTCCTGATTCGTTTCTTGAAAACAAAAGTCACATTTCCCTGTAGCTTATTTCCACTGTTTGAATAATATATTGTTTAAACCTGGATAACTCCCCTTTTGTAGCTCCCCTTTTCTTTTGGGCAGTCTGGGACAGGAGGTGGTGAAGGTGGCCTCGGTGGTGGCGGTCCATTTTTGTGCGTGTGGTGGGTTCCCTCACGTTGGCGTGAATGCTCACTATTGCCTGGGGTGACCTTATTATATTATTCGTACTTGTTTCTTTTTGGGATTTAATCCCCCGTGTGTCTATTTCCTCCTCCAGTTAGTCTCAGCCCTGCAAGTTTTATTCCCTGTTTGTCTTGTTGCCCTTTTTTTAAAAAAGAAAAATGTTAAACTTGTATTTTAAAACCTATTTTTCTAAAATAAAATGTATTGTAAATTGTGGAACCACTTCTTATGCATCATTTAGTGGAGCTATCATTTATACAAAATAAAATTTGAGTTAAAAAGAATAGAACTAAGAATTTTAGCCCTAGCCCTGCCCTGGCCCGAGACACTCAGGCCCTAGCCTAGCTCTTGTCCAACAGCCTATCAGAATTCTCAGCCCGAGCCTTACTGAAGCCCTTTTTTTTTTGACAATGTGTTTTTACCTGTCATTCACACAGCTTTTTCTACTTTTGCAGACATTATAATCATTCAGTTTTGTTTTAAATGGCAAATTAGTAATATTTTTATTTAGTTTCATTATTAAGTAAATTTAGCAAAATGCTTGTAGTATTTTCTTTAATATGCAGTTTGATTGCAGACTCTGCTCAATGGCATTTTTTCTAAGTTTAGTATGTATTGAGTATTTTTTTGTTTGTTGCTCAGGTACAGAACGCAGCTTTATTGTCCAACGCGCCTAAATGCGCATCTGAATCAGGGGCGTTGCGAGGGGGGGGGCTTTGGGGGCTTAAGCCCCTGATGTATTGTCAAAAGCCCCTGATCTCTTGGAATATGTTGCACTTAAATAAAAATATGTTGTATAACATTTATTTTGTTATTTAAGTACTAAAAATTACCACATACATCACGAACATTCCACTTAACGCAGCGTTTGTGTCAGGTAATTAAACCGTCAGCTGTTCAGCAGTACCTGTTTCTACCGGCAGGTGGGAGTGGCTCTGTTGTCACATGGTGTTAAAAAAATCCCGCCACTGCACATCATTCATTTATTATTTTGAGGAGCTGAAGCTAATGAGGTAATAATACAACTCTTTCGCGAAACTGAATAGTTTTAACTACTGATGAAGCTTGTTTCCACAGTATAAAATATGTGTAGTTTTGGTGACATAAAATAACTATAATCAGTAAAATGTGCATCATATCAATGTAAATACAAGTAAAAAAAACGTAAATTGTACTAGCTTTCTAGATATCATATATTTATATGATACAGCAAGTCACATCTGTTTCTGTAATAGTTAAATCACAGTGAGTTTATGCACCTAGCTTATTATTATATTCTACTGTAACATGCTATGTCAGTTTGAATCAAATTATAAATCGACTTTCTTATGAAAATACCTAAAATGGTTGGAAGAACACACAGTTGAAGTCTGAATTATTAGCCCCCGTTTATTTTTCCCCCCAAATTCTGTTTAACGGAGAGAATATTGTTTTCAGCACATTTCTAATCATAATAGTTTTAACTCAACTCTAATAACTGATTTATTTTATCTTTGCCATGATGACAGTGCAATAATATTTGACTAGACGTTGTTTAAGACACCTCTATACAGCTTAAAGTGACATTTAAAGGCTTTAAAGGCAGGTTAGGGTAATAAGGCAAGTTATTGTATAACGATGGTTTTTTCTGTAGACTATAGGAAAAATATATAAAATCTTAAAGAGGCTAATAATTTTGACCCTAAAATGTTTTTTTTTTTAAATGTAAAACTGCTTTTATTCTTGCTGAAATAAAACAAATAAGACTTTCTTCAAAAGGAAAATATCAGACATAGGCTACTGTGAAAATTTCCTTGCTCTGTTAAACATCATTTGGGAAATATTTAAAAAATAAAATAAAATTCAAAGGAGGGCTAATAATTCTGACTTCAACTGTATAAAAAAATTATTGTCGCAGTCGTGTAAATGATCAGTTAAAGCCTTTTTATTTTGATTCAGATCGTATTTTTATTCTACTACAGCAACAGCTGGATGCCTTCATCCATATTAGGGATTTCCTAGAATGTTCTACTACTTTTGTGAAGAATATATATGGAATTTCTGCTCAAGTATGAATAAAACAGGCATTACATGCATTTAAAGTGCTACAATGCCCACATCACCCTATTTTGAGGAAAACTGAAAAAAAAATCCCTCTGAAGAAATTTAAAGTAAACATATTTCTAGCATATAGATCTTTATTTTTATTTTTTTTGTAGCCTTAGCTAGCCTACTATTTTTGATAGAATTGTTATTATGTAAAAAATAGTAGCCTATTGAATATCAATATTTTGCAAGGTATTGAATTTAGAATTTTTTGGGGGGGGGGGGGTTCTTTGGGGCTAAGCCCCTTATCCCTTTCGACCCTAGCAACGCCCCTGATCTGAATGCATGCCGGGTGTGTTTAAATTCCTCTTTTAGCTTCAGCTGTCACCATAATAAAAAAAATAAATGATACGTACATCCCGATTACACGTAGCCCTGTGTCACCACATCCAAACTGCCTCAAATATTAGGCTAGGTTTGTGGGACATCAGTGATGTGCAGAGCAATTGGCACATGAGTCCGCGGGAGTGGTTTGTAAGAGTCTTTTGGTAACTGTTCTTATGTTACTTTGATATCATAGGCATATGCTGACACGTGCATAAACACATAATAAATAACAAATGTAACATTTCTCTACGCTTCCGTAGTAAAGAGAGTTCGCTTTTCTTACTGTTAACTTGAAACAGTCGGATCATGCCCTGCGGAGGAGTGGGTATATGGGGTTGCACCGTAAAAGAATGCAGGGCTATTACACGTGATTTGTCCTCATGCTGAAAACGTGACTTGACGTATAGGAGACGCAAGAAGAAATCAAACATTTTTTTAAGGAAAATTACAAAAATAGTAACGCACATTGACTTGGATAAAGAACTTTTATCATTATTAAGTAACGCGTAACAGGCATCACTGCCCGGGAGGTAGTGGGTTCAAACTCGCCCGGCCCCTCGTACTTTCACCGTGCGATTTGACTCATTTTCCAGTAACGACAGCACTTACGTTTTCTTGTTGCATCCGTTGGAGACATTCTTCGGGTACACCACGATTCCGTAGAAATCTCAGTAGTGGGCTATCCACGTTTATTGTGGCCATGTTGCAAGCAGCTCATAGCTTAAACTGCCAGTTTTCAGGTAACGTTAGGCGGGCTCTTCGTCTTCGCACCGGACAATAAAGTTTTCACGTAATAACGTGATAATTATATTGTACGAACGTGAAAAGTATATTGTACAAACGTGATATTATATTGTAAGAACGTGAAAAGTATATTGTACAAACATGATATTATAGTGTAAGAACGTGATATTATATTGTACAAACGTGATATTATATTGTAAGAACGTGAAAAGTATATTGTACAAACGTGATATTATATTGTACAAACGTGATAATTATATTGTACAAACGTGATATTATATTGTACGAACGTGAAAAGTATATTGTACAAACGTGATATTATATTGTAAGAACGTGAAAAGTATATTGTACAAACATGATATTATAGTGTAAGAACGTGATATTATATTGTAAGAACGTGATATTATATTGTACAAACGTGATATTATATTGTACAAACGTGAAACTATATTGTACAAACGTGATATTATATTGTAAGAACGTGAAAAGTATATTGTACAAACGTGATGTTATATTGTAAGAACGTGAAACTATATTGTACAAACGTGATAATTATATTGTACAAACGTGATATTATATTGTAAGAACGTGAAAAGTATATTGTACAAACGTGATATTATATTGTACAAACGTGATAATTATATTGTACAAACGTGATATTATATTGTAAGAACGTGAAACTATATTGTACAAACGTGATGTTATATTGTAAGAACGTGAAAAGTATATTGTACAAACGTGATAAAGCTCAGATTTTTTTTTTACCTGGGTGGCAGCTCTACGCTTCCGTATGATATAGCTTTGGCTATTTATTTATTTTATATATGGCTGTTTATATTGTTAATAATTTGCATAGTTAATATTGTGCTTTGATGTTTAGTTTATAAAGATTTTTTAAATGTTATTTAATAAAAAGTTTTAAAAATCGTTTTTTTCCCATAACCCAACAGGTAACCCAATGGTGGGTCAATTTGGCACCGACTTTCAGTTGGGTTATTTTAACCCAAAACATTGGGTTGTTAAGGTCAACCCAACAATTTGGGTTACAAAAACAACTAATTTGTTGGGTTATTTCGCTAAAAAGTGGCTTCACCACTATATATTAATAAATTTATATTATTATTATTATTATTATTATAGTAGTAATCTTTATATGTAAATAAAATACACAGCTTTTAATACATTGGCAAAGCTTTATTTAAATCCATGAATTTAGTGTCACTCCTCCAACAATAACAAATGTCTGAGACCAGTTTAGTTCATCCCCAAGCAGCAGGACAAAAGGGTTCTGTATCTGTTGCTCCTCCAAGTATACACACATGAATGAAATAATGTCCAACATTTATTGTCATAAATTATGCACCTAGGTCGCAAATCAACAAATGTTTGTTTTGCCTCCTGGTATGAGGGCCGAACCATCTTGCTGCACAATCTGTATAGCAGTGGAGAACGGATAGCTGGCTGAGTTGTTTAAACACCATCTCCAAAGTGGGATCTCCAAGGCTCTCTTTAAATCAAACAGAAAAAACACAATAATTAAACTCAAAACAAGCCCCTTATATCAAAGGTGAAATTATGCAAGATTTTCTCACCAGGATCCAATGCTCTCCTCTCTTTTTTGCAATACAAGAGAATCCACAGTGATGAATCTCCCCAAACCTCAAAAAGTTTATCTTTGGCGTTGTTGTAAACTTCTAAGAGCCCACAAAAAACCAGGGAGAATCTTTCGGTTGTCTTCAAAGCAGAATCCTTTTTAATAAGAGGAAACTCAGCGTGGCTGTGGCGTCATCGAAAGCAAACTCTCAACTCCACAGCAAAACATAATACATTTTATACATCTTACAGCATGTAGGTGGGGTCAGTCATGGGGGACAGTAAAACAAAGCATGCAAATGAAGTCTGGGTGCCATGGTTGCAAATGAAGTCTGGGTGCCATGCTGATCTCATCAATAGATAAGTACATCATTACAACAATTTGCAAATGATGTTCTGGAGACAGGGAATACAATAGATACAGCCATGCTGTGAAACCATTAATTACATCACTTTAGCATACAAATGAAGTCTGTAGTCAGCAAGGCAAGGTTAAATGTCCCTCCTATATGGCACGTCCATGCAATGATTTAATTAAAAAAAACCAAAGAAAATAACTTTTCAGTTATACGTAGAGTATTGTTCATTTGGAATTAGATGCTAGAAATTTATATTTCCACAGTTCCCCCTTTGAGAGTTATAAAAAAAAAACTCTCACAATAAATAAATTTATACACTAAAAAAAAGTTCATTCTTGTAACGTATTATGGTTACAGGCGCATACTACTTGCTCAGTTTTTACTGTCTATATTTACAAATGACATGTTGACACAGGAACAAACATGCCGTTAAAATCCATGGATTTCTTATAGATAATATTCTGTTCTGGTTGGAACTGTCATTTCTTCGTCATGGGCGTGGGTCAAATGTTGAGTAAAACATTTGATACTGTGGATGCATAGATAGTACAACAGTAGGAAAAGCAATAGAAGAATAGCTATTTCCTTGATCCACAGCCAGGGTTTTCCTAACAGGTTTCCAAACCATGAAGAATTGTCTTCAGTCATACGGTGCAATTTTACTGAAAGATCAAGTATGTCTTGTTGGATTTTGTTCAAGTTCTTGGTTGGATCCATTAATCCGGTGCAACACTCTGGGCCTATGATGGTGCAAGCTCCCCCTTGCTTTGCTAGAATGTAATCCAAGGCCACTCTGTTCTGTAAGATCATTATCTTGTGTGAAACAAGAGTGTTTGTGATATTACCCAGGGCAAAAGCTGTATCATTGGCCAGTTTCTGAACAGAATTTGATAAGCTTCTGACTTGATCAAGGGCTTGCATCACACCATAAGAAGGAATTATTGCTCCAAGAGTTCTTGACCACCATGTTTGTGCACAAGTGAGTCCTGGAATGCAGCCATCTTCTTCCTTTGTGGTGGGAGCGGAGTTATGCAGATGTAGAGAGCTTGGTGTGGCGTGTGTATTTTCTCTGATAGCTGGTAGAACGTACACATGTCACAGTTGGACACGGGTTGTGCCACCCAGGGGATTCCTGCTCCTACTGAAGGTGGGTGTGGCATGCAGATGTTCTTTCCAGCAAACAAGGCATTTCTTGACATATTCATCAGCTCTAAGAATATGTTGTTTCGTGAGTCGATGGCTTGTGCGATGTTAATGATGATCACTAGTACGGCAATCTTGATCATATTGATGGATGACTGAAGTTCCTGTGTGTGGTTCTCTGCGTTGTGTTTTCTTCTGTGATGGTTGGTTTAGCAGTGGCCTCTTGAAGGTTGTGACTGGACTTGTAGGTGAGAAGGTTGGTGTCTATGGGTCTCAGGACAACAAGTTGTATCTGCACAGAATAAGAAGGAAACAAAAGCAACGAAACAGTATTTGTTGCAAAAAAAGGAAAAAATAAAAATAAATAAATAAAAGAAAAAAAAGAAAAAAGGTAAAAATAAAAAAAAGTAAAAATAAAACACTAGTTTTGTATCCTCTGTTCATTCTAATTCTGCTATAGTTGTTCCTTCTTTCCCTATTTCTTAATTCCCATGACACCTAAAGAACAGTAAGGTTAGGATGGACTAATAAATGGGGGATATTCTATTGGGATGTCTTCGCCCAGGGGTGGCCCCCAATCCCTAAAGGATCAGTTCTTCCCTGGGTACCCCACTGTTCTGTGTGTCCTATCCTATCCCTGTAGGTGGTGGAACAACTTTGCAATGTGAGACATGTGTCCAAGTTTTTCTTCCCTGACACAACACTGCAGCTGCTGTAATCAACATCACTTGATGTGGTCCAAGCCACTTAGGCTCTAATGGCTTGTTTCTGAATGATTTTATCATGACCCACTGACCTGGGATGATTGTGTGTCCACCTTCCGGTGGATTCTGCCAACACGACACAACTCTCTCTCTGGCATTCTGTACAGACTTGGTAAGGTTTTCACAGTAAGCTATCAGGGCATCTGAGACGATGTGCACATCAGCATTTCTAAGATCAATTACACCTGGCATCTGCATTGGGCGTCCAGTAATAATCTCATGAGGGCTCAGTCCTACTGATCTGTTAGGTGATGCTCTCATACTACACAGTACCGCTGGAAGTGCTTCAACCCATGAAACTCCTTCCTGATGCATTTTGCTTAGCCTGGTTTTAATTGTCCTATTAGCTCGTTCAACCTGTCCTGATGCTTGTGGCCTGTAGGGGCAGTGAAGATTCCACTTAATCTTCAGCATTTTAGACACTTCCTTGACTACCTGTCCTGTGAAGTGTGTACCCTGATCTGAGTCAATGGAATCTGGTAACCCCCATCTGGGAATGAAATCAGTGATTAGACATTTAGCAGTATGTGCAGCTGTAGCACGTCCTGTTGGATAAGCTTCAACCCATCTCGAGAACTTATCAATTACTATCAAAACATCAGTTTTTCCTTTACAGGGAGGTAATGATATGTAATCGACCTGCAGATGACGAAATGGCCCCGGTGGAGCTGGGGTATGTGTTGCTGCTGTAGTTGCTGCTGGCATGTCATTGTTTTTCTGGCATGTAACACATCTTTTCACTGTCTCAGTGGCTATGTTTCTGAATTTTGGATTCCACCATTGATTTGAGAACCTGTGATTCATGGTTGCTGGACCACTGTGACCCAAATTGTGTATTTGTTGAGCCAAGTATGGCAACAGTGATTCGGGAGCGACATATTTTCCCTCTTTAGTCCAGCAGCCAGATGAATCCACTGTGGCTCCTTTGTCTAACCAAGTCCATGCTTCATATAAAGGAACATCTTTGTACAGATCAATGATTGATTCAGGAGGTAGAATTGCTTTCTGTGCTGTACTACCTGAACATACTTGTACATTAGCATAATGACAAGCCTGTTTAGCAGCTACATCAGCATGAGCATTACCTTTAGCTTCCATTGTATTGGCTGTGAGATGTGCTTTCACTTTAATCACCGCCAATTTCTTAGGAAGTTTCATAGCAAACATCAGGTCTTTTACTAATCCAGCATGCTTAATGGGGGATCCGGCAGAAGTTAAAAACTGTCTGCTTTGCCAAATGACACCAAAATCATGAATTACCCCAAAAGCATATCTGGAATCAGTGTAGATATTTGTAACTGATCCTGACGCTAGCGTGCATGCTCTAGTTAAAGCTACTAGTTCTGCAGCTTGAGCTGAAAAGTGATCTGGAAGACGGCCTGTAGCTATTACTTCAGTGGTGGAAGTTACCGCATAACCTGCTCTTCTGTTACCATCAATGATTTGTGCTGAACCATCAACGAACAATTCCCATTCTGCATTTTCTATGGGTGTTTCTGCTACTTCACTTGTAGGTGTATAAGTAAGCGTTACACAATCATGAGTCATTTCTCCCTCATCCTCTAACACAACTTCAGTCAATGCAGACATCATACATGAGGATGGGTTTGTGATTGGTGCACGCTGTATAACAACATTCGGGGCTGTGAGGGTCAAAAAATCAATCTCTTTATCTTGTATGCTACCTTTCACAAACAGTCTTTTGTCATTGTGATGGATTACAGGGGAAAGGTAGCTACTCACAGCCCCAACAATTAGTTTTTTTCCTGTTCTTGTTGTGCTTTTAGAAGAGCCTGAGAAAGCTGTCCTAAAGCTGCTGTAGACAATGGCTGAACTACTTCAGGGTTGTAGGCAGGCTGAGAGGGAGCAGAATTATGCATAGCATGTCTTTTACTATCCTGCATCTTTTTCCTACACTCTTTCTCCCAGTGTCTTAATTTCCCACAGTAGTTGCATTTGCCTTCTCTTTTAGGCCACCTATTGTCTAGGTTTTTTGAACTAAATGTAGTTGCTGCTATTCTCACTGTTGCTTTGACATCAGCATCTTTTTCCCATGCAGCTAACTTGCCTAGATTACTTCTGATGGTATTGTCAAACCATGTAAGATCTAGAAAAGGTAATGCTTTCCTGTACTCTGTTACAAGGCCATCAGACCAAATACGAACTAGTGGTCCTTTTTCATGTAAAACACTTTCAGAGTTGTCAACAATTCCACTGTAAGCTATGGCTGTTTGACAAAACCTCTCAGTGAATTCATTCACAGACTCATCTTTCTTTTGAGCACAGCTAGTCACTCTAGACCAATCTATTTTGGGCCCCATAATATTTTTAAGAGTTTTCAGAACACCCTCTCTCAAATCATCCTTACTGCATGTTGCAGATCAGAAACAGCAGATTCAAAACTGTTGAATTCAGATTCTGTTAGAATTTGAGACAATAGCTGTGTAACTTCTGTCAACGACATGTCATAAAGACGCATTTTGCTGATTAGTGCTCTCCTAAACTCAGAAAAATTTATGCGGGCTGAAGGTAAACCCTGAGACAGTCTTTCAATGTCTTTAGGCCCTAAGGCTTTGGTAACTGATTGAACTTGGACAACAGAAGCATTGGGAGAAACACTTTCAATTTCCTCAATTCTCTGCGATTTCCTTTTCGCCCCACAAACATTCACTGACTCTACAGGTACATCTGTTTCAAAGAGAGTTTGTAAGTCTGGATAAACATTATCAGACTCACTGATTTCTTCTACATCAGCTTTCTCTGAAGCTTTGTTGCGGTTCAGTTTCTTTGTCAGAGATGTTACTCTAGCACGGAGCTGTTTGTTCTGTTCCTCTAGGTCTGAGTTGCGCTTAGCTTGTTGTGTGGCTAAGGATAAAGCAAATTCTCTGTGACAGCAGATAATGCCTTTTACATTGTTTTTACGGATACTGGCACCTAGTACTTTTTTACATTCATCTACAGACCAAGTCTTGTCTGGATGGATCTCATATTTCTGAGTTAGCTCTCTTCTAACTTTCTCAGTGACTATTAGGTCCATCTGTACTCCTAACAATGATTTAAATTCCTTATCTGACCACAACGGAGTTGCAAGACCACCTTTTTCATTTGTGGGGATCAATCTAGCGTTCTTCTTAAACATTTTTGTGAGTTTCTCAATTACTACAAAAACAAAACACTAAACTTTTCTGATACAAAAAACTGTATGTTAACAAAGTCAACCTTCCCTGGCAATGCAGAGGGAAAAAAAAACTGATAGTACTTCACACTAAAACAAAAACAAAACAAATATTAACACGTAAGGTTAATCTTCTCTGCTTTACAGAGGATAGCAGACTTACAACAAAACAAAAAATATTAACACGTAAGGTTAATCTTCCCTGCTTTACAGAGGATAGCAGACTTACAACAAAACAAAAAATATTAACACGTAAGGTTAATCTTCCCTGCTTTACAGAGGATAGCAGACTTACAACAAAACAAAAAATATTAACACGTAAGGTTAATCTTCCCTGCTTTACAGAGGATAACAGATTTTAGCACGAAAGGCTAAACACAGACAAAACAAAATATTAACACGTATGGTTAATCTTCCCTGCGTCAAAACAGAGGTTACAGATTTTAGCACGAAAGGCTAAACTTCCCTGCCTAAAACAGAGGTTACAGATTTTAGCACGAAAGGCTAAACTTCCCTGCCTAAAACAGAGGATACAGATTTTAGCTTAATCTTCCCTGCTTTACAGAGGATAACAGATTTTAGCACGAAAGGCTAAACACAGACAAAACAAAATATTAACACGTATGGTTAATCTTCCCTGCGTCAAAACAGAGGTTACAGATTTTAGCACGAAAGGCTAAACTTCCCTGCCTAAAACAGAGGTTACAGATTTTAGCACGAAAGGCTAAACTTCCCTGCCTAAAACAGAGGATACAGATTTTAGCAGAAAAATGCTAAACTTCTCTGGCAATGCAGAGGATTACTTATTCCTCTCTAAAATAAAATTTAGAGGATAACTTAGCTAACTAAACCCACAGCTGTTTGTTAACTCTTCTCTGACGGCGCAGAGGGTAACTAGATGTGCTGGTTTTGCGGTTCTTTTATAGAGTGAAACTCACCAAATCGTGGTTGAACTGAAAAGGTTCAGTCTGAAGTGGTCTGATCTTTGTATTGCTGAGTGACTTCAAATTGCAGTTGAGCTGAAGATTCCGTCTGAAGTGAAGTTTCCTTGATCTTGAAGGTTCAAGTTGAATTTCAGGTGGATTTCAGTCTTTTGTTGCAAATTGTTGAGAAGTGGATGATTTCAGTCTCTATCCGGGTCAGCGGCACCAAAACTGTTGTAAACTTCTAAGAGCCCACAAAAAACCAGGGAGAATCTTTCGGTTGTCTTCAAAGCAGAATCCTTTTTAATAAGAGGAAACTCAGCGTGGCTGTGGCGTCATCGAAAGCACTCTCAACTCCACAGCAAAACATAATACATTTTATACATCTTACAGCATGTAGGTGGGGTCAGTCATGGGGGACAGTAAAACAAAGCATGCAAATGAAGTCTGGGTGCCATGGTTGCAAATGAAGTCTGGGTGCCATGCTGATCTCATCAATAGATAAGTACATCATTACAACAATTTGCAAATGATGTTCTGGAGACAGGGAATACAATAGATACAGCCATGCTGTGAAACCATTAATTACATCGCTTTAGCATACAAATGAAGTCTGTAGTCAGCAAGGCAAGGTTAAATGTCCCTCCTATATGGCACGTCCATGCAATGATTTAATTAAAAAAAACCAAAGAAAATAACTTTTCAGTTATACGTAGAGTATTGTTCATTTGGAATTAGATGCTAGAAATTTATATTTCCACAGCGTGTTGGTATAAAATACCTGTCTTGAGCAATCTAAAAATAAAAACAAAAACAGCACTTCAATCCATGCCAAAGAAACAGAAGACTGGATTTATTAAAGGGATATTTCACACAAAAATGAAAAAAATATATAATAATAATAATAAAAAATTATATATATTTATAATAATATATATAAAATAATTATATATATATATATATATATATGTAGCTCCAGGACATGGAGTCACCTCTGCTGCTGAATGAGTGTATGGGTGTTTCACAGATTTTTGGGTGTAATCATCATTTACTCACCCTCAAGTTGTTGATTAATTGTCTTATTTCGGCTGTCCACAAATGACAACTTGATGGACAAAGCAAATCATCCTCCATATACCAAATGATGTTTTCTCCAACCTTAAAACAAATTTTTTTAATTGTTAATTTGCACATGTTTGCAGGACCAAATAACAACAAAAATCATGTACTTACCCAGTTTAGCAACGGAGAAAAGATAACTGGAAGGCTGCAAGTGGTCATCTCCAGGGGTACCTTAAACAGATAGAGAGAAAAAAAAAAACTATGAAAATGTGCATTTTTAGCTGCTTATTGCTTAAGTGTGTGTATCTGTGCATTTTTACATCATGTAAATATTACAAAATACAGAGCTGTTGTTTTCTCACCTTTCTCAGCAAGATTATCAAGGAGGTCTTAACCTTGCTCTGTCCAGAGCAAACTACAATGAACAAACAAAAAATAAACCACAAATGAACATGAGCTGACAGACAACATTTATTATTTCAGTGGTCACAGCATCACTAAAATCTCACCTGAATAGAAAACTGGGCAAGGACAATGTATGTTTAAGGGATTTGTATTTTTGTTTGTTTGCACATACTACTATTTGCCCATTAACATACTTAACTTACTACTATTATTATACAAAGCTAACAGATGTTACAATTCTT